TATTAAATGACTAAAATGATGATATGTGTCAATAATCCAATAGTCACTAGTTTAAGTTAGGGAAGCATTCTTTACTAGTTAAAGAGGTGAACCAAGTTACTTCTACTAGGTAAACGAGCATAATCGAACAAGTTTTTCGAGTTTAAGCAATAAATCGAGTTTTGTAGTGCTTTATTTTAGTGTAACACCAGGTCCCCGTCACAGGGACGATTATCGATGCTGCACGCACTACTGTGACATCGGTAGTCGACATCGTTATTATTATAGGCTATAGGAAAGCTAGTTTTGGCCGTGGGAACAAGTACAAACACCGGTAGCTCCGCAAAAGCTATGGCCGAATTGGCATGATTTATTAGCACATTCGACATGGCTGGAACATGCGAGTACTTGATCAACAACGTCATCGATTTTGGTGGCTGCACCGCAAGGACAAGGCAAACAACATGGGAGACAATCACATACCCCAACCTCTCTGCAGGAGACTAACACTGTCCAGTTTGCTGCATTCAAATATCACCATATTACTTTTCATCAACAGTTACTGCTAATAACACAAGAAGAACAATAGTAACTAGGGCTTGCCATGATTTCAACTCCGGATATAATCAGAGTTCATGTAATCATCGGACACGAGAAATCTCAGATCGAAATGAAAATAATATAGTAAGAAGATTACTAACAAGATGAAATAAGCAATAGGACGACCCAAAATCCGAGCTTCAACCAAGGGGTTTTCTCCATTACTGCTTTGGAAGATATGCAATAGGCTCTGACATGCATTATTTATAGAATTGACCCTAGACTTTTAGAGCATTGTTTTAGAACCATTACAATTGGCCCCAAAGCTTAATTTTTATATGATAATCATTAATTTAATGGGAGTTTGGATTTTCAAACGAGGAAACGAGTTGTTGTTGTTTTTAATTATAAACAAACAGCACATATAAAAAGGGAACAATTATTGAGGTCAAACAATGACAATGACTACGAGGGCCTAAAACACAAACAGAAGAAAATGAGGTAATGCTCATGGGGGCGATTGAATCAAAGTATATTGAATTATTGATCAAAGTTGTTACGAAATATTATAAGTAATCGATATTAAATTATAAGCTCGAGTTTTTGTGCATGCACAAAATCTCTATTGGAAAATTCACTTATTGTGAGACACGGATCAATCCAAATTAGTCAATGTGAAGTTTTCCAATAGGAAGGACAACCAAAAAAAAATACACACTAACCCTATAAGAGTATATATAAGCACATTAAATCTTAGACAAAAAACTAAAATTAATTCTGGGTCCATCAGTCCGAAAATATTTGTATCCACTTAAATCTCTATTTTTCTCGATTTATTTATAAAATTAATATTTCCTATTTAGAAAATGTTAATTACTGTTTAATATTATTAATACTTTTTTTTTGTAGTTTTTCTAATTTAGTAAATGAAAATATTTTGTTTGAAGTTGAACTATGAAAAAAAACACTGATCATTATTATTATTTAAATATAAATGTAAAATAGTTAGAATTGGACCTTATTTAATTCTATTTACTATTGTAAAGAAGTATTAAATTGATGCAATTAAACTTGAGGGGCTAAATTGACATAGTTCAATGATAGAGGGACCTAGAAGTTACTTTCACAAAAGAATTTAACAAAGCTTTCCCTTCACGCCGTTAAAGGTAAAGGATTTGGTTCGTGGAATAAGAAAAGACAAAAGGAAGAATCAAGATTCGAAAATCATTTTATTCACTAAAAGGAAATCGAAATCTTAGATGGGCGCAGACGACGATCCTTTCGGTTGGTTAATCGATGAATGTAAGATGTCGTCTCCCGAGGCGTCCGACTTGCAACGCTGCCCGTATTTTGGAGTGCCGGATTCTGATAACTCCAACGAAGGCGATCGGGATCCGGCTGATGTTCCGGTCGAAATTGACGGCATCAAAATGCTTTCCGCTCCCGATTCACCGGAAGACGAACTGCCAAATCAGCAATCTAGTGTTGCCGAAGACCAGGAGATCTACCACACTCCTCCCGAGTTCAGGTCCACTTCTTCCTCCTTTGATAACTGCAGCGATGCCCGAATGGTCGGGAGTGGTGTTGACCGTGAAACCGTGCCCATAGAGGTGGACGGCGAGAGTGTCGTTGATTTGTGGAGAGATACGGACTTAGGGTTTATGGAAGTGGAATCTGAAGAAAATTGGGTTTCGGGAAAAGAATCTTCGCTGACTGAATCTCTGGAAATGAGTGATGCTGTGGCATTATTGCTATCATTGAGGAACATTAATCCGTGTCCCGGTGGTTCTCCAGAACCGGCGCTTGAGACTGACAATGGTGAAGTAAACTCTGGGGAAAATAAGAACATTGTGGGTGATATTGATCAGGTCCGATGCATCGGTGAGATTGATTCGAATTCGAGGGCAATTGAGGTCAAAACAAAGGGAAAACGGGTATTGCCATCATGGGGCAATCCGAGGGTGGAAGATGATCATGAGAGAGTCAATGAGGAACTTATAGGTAATGAGACAGTTGGTGATGATGAGAGAGTCGATGAGGAACTGGTGGCTAATCAGAGAGTCGATCAGGAACTGGTGGCTAATGAGAGAGTCGATCAGGAACTGGTAGCTAATGAGAGAGTCGATCAGGAACTGGTGGCTAATGAGAGAGTCGATCAGGAACTGGGAGCTAATCAGAGAGTCGATCAGGAACTGGTGGCTAATGAGAGAGTTGGAGATGCTGAGAGAGTCAATGAGGAACCAGACGAGAGGGCTAAAGATGGACCGGAGGTGTTGCCTTCATTGGTTAATGGAAGTAAACCAGTCCATTCTGATATCGGTACAAGTTCCGTGAAGCAGAATTTACTGCGACGAACTGATTTGAATGTGTTGCGGCTTCTGGAAAAGGATACTGAGGAAGATACAAGTCTATATAGTCTTAGTATTATGGTGGTTGCACAACGAAAATGGGGTAAATCTGTTATGCAGGCATTGGAATAGTTGAATCTATATGATAGGTATTTTGTAGTTCAAGTTCATGATTTGTATGGATGGTGTTTATGCAGGCAGGTAAATTGAAATAGTTGAATCTATATGATAGATATTTTGTAGTTCAAATTCATGTTTTGCATGGAAGGTCTGCCTGTATATAAATGCAAATTCTGAAATGTAGAAGCATGGAAATACTTTTGGTTCTAACTTTGATCTTGCAAAATCTGTTTACACACACACACTCGCATCATAGTTTCAATAGTCAAAAGTTGATCAATGATGGATGAATATATATATATATATATATAGGAAAACTACAAGTATATAAATTTTACCCCTTGTTGAATTTGTCACTACTAGATCGAAAGCTTGTGTGATTTTAGCTTTTGGGCATATGAGAAAGCTTTGTTGATAGGTACCCTCCTGGTTTTGTCGGTTCCCTTTGGGGTTCAGATCGGTTGCCAGTTGCCACCACTGAGATTCCTTCTCTTTTTTTCTTCTTTAGAAGTGCCCAAACTTTTTTGAAGAATCAATGTCAATTTTGTTGAATATTTACCTGCATGTTCACTTGGTGGATTGAGGGATATTCGAGTAAAATTCTTATTATTTTCCCCGCTGTTTGTTCATATCTGTTACTGTCTTTTATAATCATCCTTAATGGTTTTCATATTATTAAGTGTGCATTAAATTCCTCAGTTAGTAGAGTTTTCTGGGAAAAGAACATGAAAAGTATATTGTGTCAAATAAATGGAGAGTTTGGTCCCTGTTGCCTGTAACATAAGTTTAGGGATGAGATAATCAAAGGACACACCAAAGTCTTCTATAAACTTCATCTTTCATGTTGACGTCGTTTTCTAACCGGTCATTCAGTTCAAGCAACAGCATTTCTATGTTCACCGGAGACACATTCAAACTTTTTTAGCATCAACGAGACGCTAAGTTCTGAAAGGTACTCGGGGAGCTTGTTTGCAGATAGTAACGCTCGGAGCTAGTAAAATGTACATGCATGAGGTAGTAAAATCTTTAGCAAAAATGTAAAACAACAAAATACATCGGAATAGGATGAAGCTGAAAACATCACGGTTGTCGCATTCAACAGCCACAAACACAGAAACAAGATTTCAGCACACGAGGATTGGAACATACAAAACTGGAGCAGTTTATAAAAAATTTAACAAGTTGATCTTTAGAACGAACCTGATGGACCGGACCTTCATCATCATATTATTAATAGAACGAATCAGGGGAATCGAGCTCAAAGACACCGAAGGAGCTTGAGTGACTTTTAGAGCCTCCATACTGTCAGATTGAATCTGCAAACTGGAGATACCATTCTCCAAGCAAGTTGTAGACAGATGTGGAGTGCCCAAATGAGGCTTCGATGCAGAAGAGCCGTCGGTTGTTCATAGCGAGAATTGAAAACTCAATCGTTTCTATTCTTCCAAATTTGTCACAAGGTTAGAAATGAAAACAAGCTGCCATGAAAGTGTAGAATTGAACAGTAGAGCCTTACAAAACATATTCTCCGAGAGCCAAATCGAAAGCGGCTGAGTTTTGTTTTCATTTACTCATTCGTGTTTAATTTCTGTTAGAGTTATGTGCCGTCATATAGGGGTTACAATATTAATGTAAAAACATAATACATGTACAGCATAATAGCTGAGGGATTAAAGTCAACTAATCACATACTTCCTACAGCAGCAGCAGCTTTGATAGATCAAAACTTATATTAAAGTTAGCATTAGTATAATATTACACAAAAACATTATCTATTCTATGGTTAACCTAAAATTGATAAATCGGTCCCTTTTAAATTATAAAGATAAATAAATAAATCTCTTTAATTTATGAGAATCAATTCTCATACTTTACGAATTCTAAGAAATCAATTCAATAGGATAAAGAATATTGATTTTCATGATAAAGTTATTGGATTTAAAATAAATAATTATCAATAACCGGATTAATTAGTCACTATTCGTAAAGTACGAGGATCAGATTGTGATAAATTAAAAAGCGATTAAAAGGCTGGGATTATAGGAGGAGAAAATCCGAATTTGTCACCCGTTTCGTCTTCTTCGTTATCTTCTTCCTCGGCTTCCCACATGAAATGAGCGTAAGATCCCAGCACCATGCTGCGAATTAATATCCCCCAGAGGGATAAAAATGAAAATGAAAAGTGCGTTTGGGGTTGTTTTGCAAATATGTAGATGTTAAGGAGTAAAATGTAAAGATAGTGAGTTTTTACCAGTCGTCGGGTGAAGCATTAATGGCCGGTCAAAGTAAGACCTAGTTCGGGTCTTGTCTCCGTGCCGGTCCCATATTAACTGAGCGTACAACGATAATATCTCGCCATCTCCGGGACTCACTAAGATCGCTCTCCCGTAATACTCCTCCGCTCTCTCTGTATCTTTTTCCACCTTCAAAATCAAAGCCAAACACAACATGACAATAGTCCGGGTTGAATTTGACGTGCTATATCTTTGAATATCATGACACATGTTCAATATAATTTTAATGAATCATTAATTAAGTACGTATAAAAATATAACGTAGTAACATATATTAATCGTTAGTCAACTAACGATTTACATTTTAACAATGATTATTTTGACAAAAAATAAAACGTTAAAATCTAAAATACTAAAAATAATATCAAATTAATGATTATTTATGCAAATGTCATAAACTAATTTATATATATATAATAAAGATTTGTAATGTTATTTATATGAAATTATATAATATAATGTTATTTACAAAATGAGAGGTCTGAAGATAGAATGACGACGATAATATTAAAAAGACTAATGAATTGCGGGGAAAAAAATTATAAAGCGTTATAGTTAGAATATTAAATTAAAAAAAATTAGAAACTTATTAAACAATAAAATATTTAAAAAAATAGAGATACCAACACTTTTATAATTCAAAATATTAAGTAACATAATTAGGCGTAATCTTGTTGATAATAAAATATTTACCTTCTGTAAAAATCTGCCGTAGTTTCCGAGTAGAAGCCAATCGGCAGGATTCAATCTCAATTTCACTATAATAATCACCGATCTGGATCTTATGACCGTACGAATCATCGCCGTGACTACCGCCGGACTTCCCGCGTTTTCCCTGACCGTCACCCGAGTGACCAATCTCCTCCTTCGAGATCCTGACTTCCGGCGAGAAACTCTTCTTATCACTTCCATTCCCAGTCACCAACGCTCGGAATTTCCTATCCACTTCACCGACCAACACGCACTCCTCCTCCGGTATCCCCGCCGAAAATCCCCGAGATCCAACGGGAACCCTATTCACCGATCGCACGATACCGGAATCGGACATCGCTCACCTTATGTTCGGCCGTGTTTCCTTGGGCCTCCGTTTATCCATAGGGGAAAGCAAATAGATCAAGGGCGAGCCAAAGACCGTTCTCTCGCCGGAGTAAATCCCGGCAAATGAACTTTGACGTAAAAGCGTAGAAACTCGTGGCAGAGTAGAACTGGAAAGCCCCGGTGACGTGACCGGAATCGAACCACCTCTCAAAATCACAGCTTGCATAGCTGGAACGCGCGTTTGCCTTTTTTTTTCTTTTCTCTTTCAAACTTTTTCTTTTTCAGTTTACAGTTCGGCCATTGAAATGGGAGCTTTACGTGAATATATACATAGTTACGAGAGGAGATAGAGCCGATACAAGGAGATGGCTCCACATCATTCTCACCAAGGACTCGCTCAATACCATAAATAAAATGCTTACCAAACAAATTAACTTTCCAAATTAAGCTGCACCACTTTTTTCAGGCTCCAAACACACAATGACAATGTCGCCATGCTTTTCTCTTCGTTCTACACAACCACCGAACAAAAGAAATCAACCCCATTGTCTCTCATCAATGCGAAAACACTCGGCCGGAACCATCTACACTCCTGCCACCGGCACCATCTTTATTCAATGTCGAGTTTTTCTAGTCACGCCGAAGAACCTTCCTCATCGAACACGGCGCCGCCGTTGGCTATAATTATATCGGTAGTCTTGCTCATCTTGTTCGCAATTTCCTTTCTCATGGTATGCTTCTGTAGGTGCATGTTGCAAAGCCTTGTTAGTATGTGGAGTTGACGGCAGAATCCTTCGGGTGCCGTTGGCGGCGGGTGCCGATATGAATACCGGACTTGATTCCGAACTAATAGAAACTTACCCTACATTTTATTATTCGACCGTCAATGAGTTCCGTCGCGAGAAGTATGGCCTAGAATGTGCTATTTGCTTAGGTGAGTTCAACGACGACAACCTGCTTAGACTTTTGACGATTTGTTGCCATGTTTTCCACAAAGAATGTGTCGATCTATGGTTCGAATCGCATAAGACTTGTCCGTTTTGTCGCGGGGAGCTCGACAAACCTAGGCAGTCATTAGACAAGTCTCCGTTGATTGTTCGTAGCAATCCCATGCACGAAATCAGAGCAAATCAGAGTCCATTACAAGATGCTGTTTGCATCGACATTAGAGAAGATACCGATGGCGTCACAGTTGGTGACGGAGAAGACGAAGCACCGGTTTCTTCGATACAAGAAAACGACTTCATAGGATCCCAAAATTTTCGAGATCGAATTCAACCGGCCACACTATATCTAGGACTAGAGAAGGGGATAGATACACTTTGAGAATGCCTGAACATATCGAAACAAAAATTGTAAGGGACACAAGATCGCAAGAAGCTGTATCACATTCGGCGATTTTGCGAGCCCCTCCTATTATAAGAACCAACGTTTCCGTGAAACATCGGAGACACACCGAGGAGATGTCAAAGTTTAAGTTTCTAGCGATTTTTTTGACCTTATCGTAGGAAGTTTGACATAGAGTTTACTGCAACTAAAATGTGACAACATTTCTCAATTCTCATCGTTTCTTTAGCCGGAACCGAAAAACCCGAAATTAAGCTTTAGCCGGAATCGGTTGTCTATGTTTGATTAACTTTGTTTCTCTTTTGTTCATTTATGTATAGTCAATAGAAATTCAAATCAATGTCTTCCATTTAATTGCTTCAACTTTGGTTTTTATGTTGTGGAAGATGAAGAATGAAGTTGCAGGGTTTGGTACCTGTATTAGGTCATGGAATCGAGTCCGGATAATCACAAGCAAAAACTATGATATTTGCTATACTATCTCGAATGTCAACCCGAATCGTAAACAGATTACACATGTTCTTTACGATCGCGGAGGCAAACGACAAATGTTCGAAAAAAACATCGAGATATCTCTTGATTTCATATGAAGATTGCACTTAGGCTTACAAAATTATGGCAGTAGGGTTTACTTTTACAGAGGAAAAGAAGGGGATCTTACTCTTGCTTGTCTAGCAAGAAAGAGCCTACCACTCGAAAATGATCTCTTCATTGCAACAGGGTTCATTGCACAATCAAAGACCCTCATTTTATTGCTAGACTTACCGGCTGCTGTGGATTGCTTTGACGATGATCCGGCGATACCGGGTGGCAACCGGCTCTCTTCCTCTTGATCCGTGAGCAAAATTTCGGCGACCGAAACTTGGGGTTGACATAAATGGTTCATGGAAACTGATCTTCTAATCTGTTGTTGATCACCTTCTTCTCTAATCTCGATCATGGTGATCCTCCCTTGAGCGTTGCCTATATCGTCGGCAGTGGCTATGTCGTCGGAAGGGGTTTCGGTAAGCGGAGGCGGCAACGGAAGCGGTGAAGCGCTAACGGAGATTATATTAGCGCGACACAAAGGGCAATTAGAATGAGAATTAAGCCATGCATCGATGCAATGGACATGGAAAGCATGGCTGCATTTAGGCAACAGCCTTAAACTGTCATCTTCTAAAAACTCACCGAGGCAAACAGAACAATCCGTTCCTTCGACCAAGCCGTCACCCTTTCTGTATTTGCAAACCGTAATGGAGTTGATGACAGCCTCGTCCAAACCGGCGGTCGAAGCCTGCCACGGCTGATATGTAGACGGGTCGTGATCTTCGTCCACCACATCACCGCCGCCGCCGCGATTCTCTCTTCTGCGACTCGAGTCCACGTTCTTCCCACAGTATTTATACAGTATCAGATTGTAACTCACCAGCAGAAAAGCACAGGCTAGAACGCCGATGACTGCGATCATGAGGGGAGAGAAGTTACGGCCCGAATCATCATCGGGAAACTCTACCGGAGCCGGAGGAGGGAAGTTGATATAGCACCATTGAGGACAATACAAGCTGCAAAAACCTTGAGAACAGTCTTGGGTGTTCATGTATGGCAACCGGGTTTCTCTTTCGGGTTACGAAAGGATCCGAGCAACAACAAATCAAATCGCAAAGGATCAAAAACAAGCACCTTATTAGCAAAAGAATGCCGGTGCAGAACAGAGTGGAAGCCTATGAGCGGCGCCTCCTTAAAAGCAGCCAAAGGGGGCTGACATGGAAAGTAAAGCAAGGACAGGAAAATGAATTAAGCAGGTTTAGTCAAATGAAGAAGAAAGCTTTATTTAGTCAAGGCGCTACGATCAAGAAACCACTTTCTCGCCAACCAAACAACTAGTTTTTACCTTTTCTCTTCTTTTCATTTCTACTTTCCACCCCAGTTGTCTTCGTCTCTCCCCGTGCTGATTCCAATGCTCTAAATCAATCGATCAATCATATATATAACTCATCTAGATAAAGGGTAAGTTTTAAACTAGTCCAATAAGCATGCAATCATAACAAGAATGATGCTCCTAACAATAACATAATAATGAACCGATTATAATAAAAATATCTCCTTTGTTTAAAACATTAGTGTATTTAACATCATCATGTTCCACCGACATTTCTTCTAAATGAATGTCATATATAAATACATGTCTTCAAATAATATTTAGGATAAAGTACAGAAATGGTCCCCTGACTATATGATATTACTTTAGTAAGTCCCTCAACTATTAAAAGTTGTAAAATGATCCTCCGACTATAGAGTGTTGCTTTGTTTAGTCCATCGACTATTAAAAGTTACAAAATGATCAACCGACTATTAATTATGTTCCAAACTTATCCTTTTATGTTAAAATATTGATGATATTCTGAGTTGAACATTAGCGGTCTAACTGTGATATAATAAAATCTGATCCAAGAATCTCAAACACTATTATATCCTAGTCATCATGTTAACATCTAACTTAGACAACCGTCAATTTTTAACGAAAAATGACGAGTTTGAAATATAATGAATGGTCGGATGATCATTCTGTAACTTTTAATAGTCGATAGACTTAATAGAGCAACGTTCTATAGTCAAAAGATTATTTTGTAACTTTTAATAATTGAGTGTCTTAATAAAGCGATACTATATAGTCGAGAAACCGTTTGTGTAGTTTACCCTAATATTTAACATTGTTACGTTCAATCAATAATATTTTTATAATCAAATAATAATGATTAAACTTGACTCAACTAGTAAGTATTATTGGACCTAAAGTTTTAGGTTTGAGCCTCATCCGTATTTTCATTTTTACTTTAAAGATTAATTTATTGAATAATTAAATTATTTTATATTAAAATAATGATTAAATCGACAAAATGAAGAAGAAACATGCAAAGATTGTGGATGAACATGATTGTCCAAATAAGCTTCGGATCCGGACTCTATGTTGGTTTCAAACTAGACTTTCGGGTATAAGATAAGATTGATTTCAAGCTCAAATCGAAGTCGATTTGATTTAAGCATTAATCGAACTTTGATTAAGTTGAACTCAAATAACTTATGATATGTCTTGTCTCATTTCTATCCCTAATTGTATAAATATAAATACGCAATAAAGTTAACAAATAAGCTATAGTACACAAATGAAAAGAATAACGTGCCACATCTACTACCTCAATAATGAATGATTAAGTGATTAATTTATTATAAATAAATAAAATAAATATTTTTTTCATTATTTTTGAATTATAAATAGAAAAAAAAGTGAAACTTGTTAAAATTTTTATAATCAACTACCAAACCCTACATTTTTACCTTTAATTAAATTTTAAATGAATTATATGGTCACGGATTACTCTAAAAATTTAAAACGTAAAATTAAATTGAGTAAACTATATATTTAGTATCTAAACTATCAATTTTGTTCCATTTTAGTACCTAAACTTTCATTTTTTTAAAACCGTACCTAATGTTTACTTTTTGTTTAATTTTAGTACCCATTGTTAACTTTTTGTTTCATTTTGGTATCCCGCTATTAATTTTTTGTTTTATTTTAGTACCTAAATTTTAACAGCGGGTACTAAAATGAAACAAAAAAGTAAGCGTTAGGTATGATTTTGAAAATTCAAAGTTTAAGTACTAAAATGTAATAAAATTAATAGTTTAGGTAATAAATATGTACTTTACCTAATTTAATTTTAGATAAGGGTAAATTACAAATTTGGTAATTGAACTTTCATACGATTCCTATTTTACTCACTGTACTTTCAAAATTTTCAATTTACTCACTAAACTTTATGAATTGAACTTTTTTGTCACTCCACTTTATATCACTAACAACTTATTGACGTGAAATTTTTTAATATTAAACATGTCACATCAGATTTCTACATAATAATAATAATAATAAGGGTAAATTATAAATTTGATAACTGAATTTTCATATGATTCCTATTTTACTCACCGTACTTTCAAAATTTTCAATTTTGCTCACTCAACTCTATAGATTGAGTTTTTAGCCGGGGGAGATGAACGAACACGAGGTGGCCGAAAAACAACGTCGAACTTAGGCAGTTACGATGAGAGGGTAAATCGACTGGGTTTTGGTCGGAAAGAGGAGAGAACTTTAGCAGTGGCGGCGATGAGACGAACGGACGACCAGGGTGGCCGAAAATTGACGAAAATTAATGGGAAGCTTTGGTTTCCCAACGAACCTTCGACGATTTCTATACGACGAACGCGGAGAGCCTTGACAATCGACCACTAGGGTTTTGGTCGCAGTGGCTTGACACTCACATCAATACTAACGGTGACGGTCACCGTCCAATCGGTGTGAGCCACCGCTGATCAGAGATGGTTTCAACGATGAGGATAATGGATAATGGTGGATGATCGTTGAAGATGAGAAATTTAACAACAGATTGACCAAAAAAACAATTTATAAAGTTGAGTGAGTAAAATAGGAACCATATGAAAGTTTAGTTATCAAATTTGTAATTTACTCTTATTTTAACGATTAAAAAATTATTTTTCTAAGACACATCATAACGACATGAGAAATTTAACGACAGAGTGACAAAAAAAAAACTCAATCTATAAAGTTGAGTGAGGAAATTGAAATTTTTGAAAGTACGATGAGTAAAATAGAAATCATATGAAAGTTTAGTTACAAATTTGTAGTTTACCCTTTAGATAAATGTTTTAGTGAAAAATAATAATAAATAAAAGAAAAAGGCACTTCGGAGAAAGCTCTTCGTCGTGGAAAGAGGTTTACGATCACATCCCTACATTGTTACTTATTTATTTTCGAGGACCTCGCCCAACTATGTAAAACAAAAGGGGAAGTGAAGTACCCAAAAACCCCAAGCGAGAGAAGAGAAAGCAAAGGCATACAAACTCGAGGGTCTGGGTTCCTTCCTCTTTTAGTGTATTCTATTGATTGAATTATTGCTTTTCTTTAATGAAAAAAGCGTTTCAAATCGCAATTTTTGACTGATAAAAAGTTAGGGTTTTATTTTTTATAGATGCTTATGTTGAGAATTCAATTATATTATGAAATTTATCTGGTAGAGTCATGGAATTTTGATTCATGGTAGCTTCGTAGAATAAAAAATTGGGATTTTGTTGAATTTTTTTATCACATAGCATACCGGCGAGCCCTTTTGATTTTTTTTTCTTCTCGAAATTGTTTAGTCTCCAGGTTTGGGAGCTCTGACGGTTGAGAAGATTTTGAGCTATGGCTTTGCAAGAGAAATTGGATAGCTTTAAACGTCAGCAGGAGAAGTGTCAGTCGATGCTCTCCAACATTGCTGCCAAATCATCATCCAGGAGCAACGCGACCGCGAGATCGGCACCCGCTGCTGCCTCGCCCTTGCCCATTGCAAGGCCTTCTGCACCTATCAAATTCTCCAATGATACCGAGAGGCTCCAGCATATTAACAGCATCAGGAAAGCTCCTGTTGGAGCTCAGATGAAGCGTGTTATTGACATTCTTTTTCAGGTTTTTATAAACCTTTATGATTTAATCTTTATGCGTTTGATGCTATAATCAGAGTATTTACCTTGTTAACATGCGTAGAAGATCTTTATTGTTGTGAGTATCCTTGGTAAAGTAATGTTTTGCTGGCTTGGAGCATGAATCTGTCATGCAGCAAAAAATTGATGGCAATGTTCATACAAATGCTAGATGAAGGAGAAATCCTTGTACAAACTTTAGTCTTTTAAAGTTTCCTGCTCCTGGTCCCGATTATTGTGTACATTCTGTGCTGTTTTCTACTGTTATTCTCATCGCATTGAAGTTGCGATAGTTTTACCCTGCATTTCTCATGGTTGGTAATTCGAGCAAATTCAATCATGTTTTAGAATTTTTTTGAGAGTAGTGGATTCAAGTTTTTCTGGGGTCAGAGTTTGGAATAGTAACCAGTAGGTCCTTAAAGGAGCGCTGTTATATTCCTTCGTAACCTTTTTAAGTTGAAACGGGTCGGTGTTCTTTACTGTATCAGAAACATTATTCAATGTGTCTAGGAAGCTCGGGTGTGGGATTCTATTATATTATTTATCCTCGAGTAGTTATGTTGATGGTTTGATTTTACATCAAAGAACGGCCAGGGACTTGAGATTTTATGGTGTATTCACTTTCCTGGATCTTGAAAAAAGTGCTACTTGACGTTTCTATGGATTGTTCACATGTTTGTTTCTGCTGACATTACTATCATGTTATTTAGAAGATAATTAGTGATAATCGCTTTGTAAGGAGCTGAAAATTTTAATTAGGCTGTAATATATGCATTGATGGTTGCAGACAAGGCAAGCGTACACACCCGAACAGATCAATGAAGCATGTTATGTTGACGTCAACGGAAACCAAGATGTCTTTGAGGGCTTGAGGAAAAATCCTAAAGTAAATTTTGATGGAAAGCGCTTCTCTTACAAGGTGACGTTTACTTAGTTGATGTTCTGGCCTTATGATAGACTTGCTCTTTTTTGTTCTCAGCATGTATATAATAACAAGCATTGCCATATGTTATCCTTACAGGCTAAGCACAATGTAAAGAACAAGAACGAACTTCTTGTTTTGATTCGGAAATTTATTGAAGGTATTGCTGTAATTGATCTGAAGGATGCATATCCTAATGTGATGGAAAACTTGCAGGTATAAATAAGTTTATATTTTCCTTCACTTCCTACTACTATTAAGTC